CAGGACACTAAAACTGGGGGACCATATTTGAGGATCCCTGCTTTAAACCTTAACCCTGGGGCATTGATAGCAGCTGAGAGTTTGGGTTGTTGAACAGCAAATAGGTCATAACCTATATGTTTGACTTCTGCTTAAAAATGTTATGTTACAAGACTTAAATTTAGCATGCTTTATTTTTTCCGGTTTGTTATATATTTTAGATGGCTGGTTTTAACCATTCAAATAAAACTAAACCATGCAACAGCTTTTGAAAAGTAAAATGTATATCTCTGTTTTTTTGTGCATTCCACAGCATCATAAATCTTTTGACATGATCTTTAAAAACAAAGCTATGTTTGTAACATTTTACAGTGTAAATGTTGATCTTTTCGCAGTAGTTCTGCAGTTTGAATAGTAAAGTGGCGCCACCTGCTGACCATAGCTCACTGCGGAAAAAAAGCATTACAATTAGCATTATTTACTAATATGTAGCCTATATAATTTGTGAAGAAATTATTATTGTCCCAAAGAGTATTGCAATCCACATACAAATACAAACTTGTACAGACATCACAAATGTAACAAATGTGTGCATTGTAACTCAATATTTTTGCTTTTAGACTTCTAAACCTGTTAAATAGTTGGGTTAAATGACTACAGTATTAATGAAGTAGGGGTAAATGTACCCCTATTAACACATGCCTGAATCACTTGAAGTTTAAGTACTAAGATAACACATTCTTGCATAGTTTGCATGTACACAAATCGCTGTTTTTATGCTCCCTCCTCATGGTCTCATTCTCTTAATACTGTTTGACATCCTTTTTGTTTATGAGCTCAGTTTGCTTCAGCTTTGTGTAAAACAAAGTTCACACATTTACAAGTATCTTAACATACTTTCTTTTACGCAGAGCACCATGCCCAAAAATGAATGTTTATATATATATATATATATATATATATATATATATAAAAAAAGAAATTATGTTGTTAGGTTAATTTAGATTAGATTAGATTAGATTAGATTAGATTAGATTAGATTAGATTAGATGAGCTTTATTGATCTCACAGGGGAGAAATTCCCTTGTCACATATTGGCATAGAAGTCAAAGAAGGTGCAAACAAGGAGGAAAAGGGTGCATTAAGAATAAACACTATATATACAGTATATCCAGGTATATACAGTATATCAAGATAAATAAGGATTAAGGTGCAAGTGTAATTTGCTTCTATAAATTCCCCTTAGGTATGAGTGTGTTTGTGCATGGATGTTCTTCCTGTAAATGGGTATAGTGTTGTGCAGGGGCATTATTTTTTTCTAAAGTGGAGAGGGCGGGTCTTTTAAAACATTTGCTTGTACCTCTAATTCATAATTTCAACTCTATTTTTACTTATTTAACAGGTCATAATTTTGTATGTTGCATTTTAATAAGGGTAAAATTACTGTAAAATGTAAATTGGTATAAATATAATGTACATCTACCTATTCCGTGGTAAACTTATTCATCTAAAGGGAAATACACATTTATATTGTCTTCATTATATATTATAGTCGATCCCAACCTCCACTTTGGGAAACTTTGCCCTACACCAAACAGTGCACTTATGTAAGTAGTATCTTACTAGTATTAAGTTATTTTATATCTTCCTCATAAAACTCACCCAGTTCTGATTAAATGTGTATTTTACATTTTTAAAAATTCAAAAAATATTTCATTTCCCTTTGGGATTCATAAAGTATTTTTGAATTGGATCAGTTGTATCAGTTGTACCTCTTCTATAGATGAATTTGCTATGAATCCAAATACTTTTTGGGATGGTCATTGAAATTACATTACAGACGTTAATATGTATTTTCTGTCATTTTTGTGAGGGAGCATCATTGAACAGTTATATATCAGATTGTAAAAGTAATGTAAAAGCAAACAATTGTTGAAAACAACAACTTAAAATAAAATATGAAATGTGATTCAGTGAGGAAGTTCTCTGAGGTTAAAAACTCCAAGAAGGTCTTACAGCAAACTAAGGGGGAATGTTTGGAGGGAAAACCTTAGCTACAATAAGTATGGTGGAGGTTCAGTCAGAGGCGCACCTTGTCAACAGGCAAACCAAGCAACTGCTTGGAGCCCCGAGCCGCTGGGGGGCCCCCGAGAGCCAGCTACTGTACACCCGGTAGATAAACAGCAACAGGTGAGCATGAAGTGGCACGCTATAGTGACCGAGGAGATGCACAACTGCATTTAAAAATTCTGATTGGATGGAATGTTGATTGACATTGGCTTTGCCCAGTCAAAATCCAGCCCAGCCCAGGTGGATAACTTCCCTTAATAAAAATGAACGTAGCCTAGCGAATGGGTGACGTTGTAGGCCTATCGTTCAGTAAATTGGAAAGCAATTATGTAACTAAGCTGAAGGAAAATTATTAATTTTCCATGTCTCAAGAGAGACTTTCAGGACTGGTGCTTATTTCTATAGAGTATAGCGTGCGAAGGTCTTTGGATCTGGAGGACTTAGGCCCCGTCCACACGAAGTCAAAACGAACACGAAACGCTAATATTTTCCAGAATGTTTGTCGTAAAGACGGAGACGTAAAATAAATGTGAGCGTCCACACGAATGCATGAAAACGCTGCAAAATGTATGCCAGGCCTGTAAGTGGCACTGTGTTGCCAAAGCAAAAATAGGTGACGAAATGTTGGGCATGCGCACTAATATTTATACATGGTTGCCCTGCAGGTCCATTTTGGTGGTTCAGTCAAACTCAGGTGCTGAACTATGTCGTCGATATTGCTCTGTTCTTCCTGGAGATATTCCAGAAGAAGAAGATTCTGTTGTAAGCCCGACAGCAGGGTGAGTAGCATGAGCAGCAACCATTCAACACAGTACGGCGCCATTGTTGTTGTGATACTGTGTCGCGCATGCGTGTTTAGAGGCGACGCTATGACGCATGCGTGTAAAAAAAAAAAGAAAAATGCGGTTAGAGCTTAAAGATGGAAACGCGAAAACGGCGTTTCAAAATCTTCCCACTCTGAAGGCTGAATAAAAAAAAAAGATCGTTTACAGACCCTGAAACTCCGGCTTCATATGGATGAGAGGCTGGTTTGGTGAAAAATTTGTGCGTTTAGGCCAGGGTTTGACTTCGTGTGGACGGGGCCTCAGTGTCTGCATTTGCACAAGCCAAGGCCCGTAAGCAGCAATTCTGGAAGCAGTATAGGACCCCAATAATTTCACTACACTTACTATACTTTATATTTTGTGCAAAGTTTATATTGGGTTTTTAAAGTAATTTACTGTTTTTTTTTATTTTATTATACATTTATTTTAATTTATTAGTTTATTTTTTACTTTTATTCTTTTATATTTTCCAAAATAACAAGGTTGTTCATGTTTAGAACATTTGGAATAAAAAAATGTTTTATTTAATACATTTTTCATTGGTGTCAGATTATTTATAGCCTAACATAAGGGTGATGAACACGTGTCAGCCCCCTAGGATTTTTTGCTTGGGGCCCCCACAGACTCTAGAATCGCCTCTGGGTTCAGTGATGCTGGGGGCTTACATCTCTCCTAAATCCCATAGTAGCCTTACTATGGCACATTCTAGATTTTGCATACAGATCTTTTAAACTGAAATTTGTGATACACGATTTTCTTCAAGAGGGCAACAATCAAACACAAAAAGAGCTAACCAGATGCTGAATCACTTCACCTTGGTGGCCTTATCTGTTCCCAGACGTAAGGCCCCCACAGAAAATAACAGCAGAATGGTGAAAGACCTTTTCTGCTTGCTCTATAAGTTTGTGAAATACCTTTGGAGCAAAAACATGTTTTTTTCTTAAGCAGCTGTTCTGTTGGTGGATTTTATGCAGATGGTTTTGTGTCAAATATAAACCTACTTACATCAAAATGTTTATTTTGAGCAATTCTTGTAAAAAAAAAAAAATGCAAAAATAAAAGTTATTCATTATTTCTTGTAATCTATTGCTGATATAAATCACAATCTCCTTCAGAGACACCATACATGCAAAAAGATTGTAAAATACTGGCAACAAACATCCTCTGACAGTGTGTGGTTGTGTGACATTTCTGTGTGTTGGGGGGTATTTTCATACCTATCTTCAACTCTTTGAAGCTGCGTCACACTGTAACCTCACCACTCGCCCTTTCATCCCTGACTTACACTCACAACATCGATAACACCCAATTACACATAAGCTCACACTTGGCAGGTCCTGAAAACACACAATTACATGGGCTCCGGACACACATTTTATTAACACTCAATTACACACACGCATGAATCACAGACAAACTGTGCACCAAGACAAACTGATATGTGAGGGACACGGGTTTTTTGCACCTTATAAAATGATTATCTATCTATCTATCTATCTATCTATCTATCTATCTATCTATCTATCTATCTATCTATCTATCTATCTATCTATCTATCTATCGTCAAGGGGCAGTGAGTTTCAGTTTGACAATTTGTACAAGAATAACGTCTGCATAAAAAATAGTAAATATAAAATCTTTAATAAATATATATATATATATATATATATATATATATATATATATATATATATATATATATATATATATATATACATTATTTTTTTTGGTGAAATAAACTGCATCAATTATAGATTAATTAACCAAATTTAATTCCAGGATTTCGTTTTGATGATTTTTCTTCAATAAAGCTGCACACTAGTTTGCATTTTGACCTCCATATCCACCAGGGGGCAGTGTGGTAAAAAGAAAACAGGGGGGAAAAAAACGGTTGGAACAAGTAAGTATGACTTTAGTCAAAGCAACGCGGAAGTGGACTTCATAAACGGTAAAACGTCGGTTCTTATTTAAAAATGAGTTGTATTGTCTATCTGTGTCCCTAGAATAATAATTTTATTGTTTTAACAGAGACGGGAAGCTGTCTGACACCACTTTTAGACACTCTATTAGTATTTCTGCCTGTTGTTTTCTTTAAAAACGAAAACAGGCCTAAACGGCTGAGAGGGCATGGATGAGGATATGCCCGAGATCTCCCTGCCTCTCCGGCAGGATTTGACCTGTCCTGTATGTCAGGCCATCTTCAGGGACCCCGTCCTGCTGCCGTGTTCCCACAGCTTCTGTCGAGAGTGTCAGCAGAAAAGTTGGCAGTTCAGCCACACCTGTCCCATCTGCAGGGTGCCTTACGAAGAGAACTATGCTATCAGTAACAGAGCTCTGAATGACGCCTCAGAGAGCTTCCTCCGACAGGCCAATCTCCGGCCTGTCCAGAGCCAACCCTCTGCAGAGGTCTGCAACCTGCACCTCAAGCCTCTGGAGCTGTACTGCGAGAAGGACGAGGAGCCTGTGTGCGTGGATTGTGTCTCGCAGCATAGCACCCACAGGCTGTGGTCCGTGAGAGACGGCATATCCATGTGCAAGGTAAAGTCACTCATCAGACTGTGATTTAAGGTCAGACCTCATGGGATCCAGGTGCTTTAATGCGTTATTACATTATGTAGAAACTGAACAAATTGATTTGATGGATTTTTAATCTGCTTTTTTGTCCTGATAATCATCTCAGGGTCCCTTACAGTCTGAGAAAGTATATTTATATTAGGACGAGTAAGAACATCAACATAGAAAACAGTATTTCCAGGCATGTTCTAGTGTCCTGGAGTCAGAGGTCTAACCCCTGGTCTTCAGGAAACTCATGTTCTACAGGTGCTGGTCATAAAATTAGAATATCATGAAAAAGTAGATTGATTTCAGTAATTCCATTTAAAAAGTGAAACTTGTATATTATATTCATACATTACATACAAACTCATATATTTCAGATGTTTATTTTGTTTAATTTTGATGATTACAAATGACAACAAATGAAAATCTCAAATTCATCATATCAGAAAATTAGAATATTGTGAAAAGGTTCAAAATTGATGGCCCCTGGTGCCACACTCTAATCAGCTAATTAACTCAAACCACCTGCAAAAGCCTTTAAATGGTCTTTCAGTCTAGTTCTATAGGCTACACAATCATGGGGAAGACTGCTGACTTGACAGTTGTCCAAAAGACGACCATCGACACCTTGCACAAGGAGGGCAAGACACAAAAGGTCATCGCTAAAGAGGCTGGCTGTTCACAGAGCTCAGTGTCCAAGCACATTAATAGAGAGGCGAAGGGAAGGAAAAGATGTGGTCGAAAAAAATGTACAAGCAAGAGAGATAACCGCACCCTGGAGAGGATTGTGAAACAAAACCCATTCAAAAATGTGGGGGAGATTCACAAAGAGTGGACTGCAGCTGGAGTGAGTGCTTCAAGAACCACCACACACAGACGTATGAAAGACATGGGTTTCTGCTGTCGCATTCCTTGTGTCAAGCCACTCTTGAACCACAGACAGCGTCAGAAGCGTCTTGCCTGGGCTAAAGAGAAACAGGACTGGACTGCTGGTGAGTGGTCCAAAGTCATGTTCTCTGATGAAAGTAAATTTTGCATTTCCTTTGGAAATCAAGGTCCCAGAGTCTGGAGGAAAAGAAGAGAGGCACTTCATCCACGTTGCTTGAAGTCCAGTGTAAAGTTTCCACAGTCAGTGATGGTTTGGGGTGCCATGTCATCTGCTGGTGTTGGTCCATTGTGTTTTCTGAGGTCCAGGGTCAACGCAGCCACATACCAGGAAGTTTTAGAGCACTTCATGCTTCCTGCAGCTGACCAACTTTTTGGAGATGCAGATTTCATTTTCCAACAGGACTTGGCACCTGCACACAGTGCCAAAGCTACCAGTACCTGGTTGAAGGACCATGGTATCCCTGTTCTTAATTGGCCAGCAAACTCTCCTGACCTTAACCCCATAGAAAATCTATGGGGTATTGTGAAGAAGAAGATGCAATACACCAGACCCAACAATTCAGAAGAGCTAAAAGCCACTATTAGAGCAACCTGGGCTATCATAACACCTGAGCAGTGCCACAGACTGATCGACTCCATGCCACGCCGCATTGCTGCAGTAATACAGGCCAAAGGAGGCCCAACTAAATACTGAGTGCTGTACATGCTCATACTTTTCATGTTCATACTTTTCAGTTGGCCAACATTTCTATAAATCCTTTGTTTTTATTGGTCTTCAGTAATATTCTAATTTTCTGATATGATGAATTTGAGATTTTCATTTGTTGTCATTTGTAATCATCAAAATTAAACAAAATAAACATCTGAAATATATGAGTTTGTATGTAATGTATGAATATAATATACAAGTTTCACTTTTTAAATGGAATTACTGAAATCAATCTACTTTTTCATGATATTCTAATTTTATGACCAGCACCTGTAGATTCTTCTCTACTTCACCACACCTTCTTCTGTCATTTATGGTAAGCGGCAATTAGGAGGTGTATTCCCGCCTCCTACTGATATAGAGAGGACTATTGAGCACACCTGAATCTAATGGTTGCATGCAGTGGCTTTAATATTGGTAAGCAGAGACTTCAGTTGCTTAGGGGCCCGTCACTGACTCCTGGTAGGCCCCCTATGCAATTGTGGATTAGGACGTCTCTTTGCAAATGTAATGCGAAAAATTCCTCTTAAACCCACCTGATGCTAGTCCGTCCGACCGTACCTTATTTATACCCCAACACATGCCAGATTTCAACATGATGGTGGGTCGTTTAAACACGACACCAATAGCAAAGCAGAAAGTGGTACTTTTAATTACTATGTTAATAACTGTCTATGGTTCATTAGGCGGTTGGTAAAAAATACACTCATATGATGTGTTTCAAACCGCAATAAAGATCTTAGAATGATGTATTTCAGTATTTCATTTTTTACACTACAACTTGGAATTATAGGTAACCCACCGCGTAGATTAAATCCATAACCGTTATGAACAATGTGTTAGCGACCAAAAATAGTTACTTAAAGGAGAAGTTCGGTTTTTTACACTTTAAGCCCATTTTCTGTAGTGTCCAGGATGAAATCGAATGATCGACACCAAAAGTTTGACAATTGCTCCTGTCTCTGCTTTTTGACTCATTTAGAATCACCCCCTGGCTGCTTCAGAATGGCTTGCATAGAGCATGTCCGATAATGTCCTTAAAACAACCTTAAACGTTCTTTTTTTAAAATATGCTACTCACCGGGTCGTCAGCGCTGTTCAATGACGTTCCAAAAAAAGTTTTGTTAAGAAAAAACGTTCCTGTAGTGTTTTATTTAGCATTTTGTAAATCCCATTGAGTTCTGTAGGAATAGTCAATATTCCGCTGCCACCGGAAACGGAAATGGGGCCTGTTTACACAGTTGTAGTCTTTTCGCTTCACTCTGTGTACTCCGACGTCGAGAATCAAGAATCCACCTTTCGTATTCCATTTTCAGAGTTTTTTAAAGTGTTTAACAGAGACGTTAGCACCTCGACGTTGGAGTACACAGAGTGAAGCGAAAAGACTACAACTGTGTAAACAGGCCCCATTTCCGTTTCCGGTGGCAGCGGAATATTGACTATTCCTACAGAACTCAATGGGATTTACACAATGCTAAATAAAACACTACAGGAACGTTTTTTCTTCACGAAACTTTTTTTGGAACGTCATTGAACAGCGCTGACGACACGGTGAGTAGCATATTTAAAAAAAAGAATGTTTAAGGTTGTTTTAAGGACATTATCGGACATGCTCTATGCTAGCCATTCTAAAGCAGCCAGGGGGGGATTCTAAATGAGCCAAAAAGCAGAGACAGGAGCAATTGTCAAACTTTTGGTGTCGATCATTCGATTTCATCCTGGACACTACAGAAAATGGGCTTAAAGTGTAAAAAACCGAACTTCTCCTTTAAGCGGATTCCAGAAAAGAATAAGCAAAGAGCTGCTGGAAGAACAGATAAAACATCCCAAAATAAACACGTTCTTTCAAAGAAACTGAAGAGGGAATGGTGGACGAAGTAGCCTGTTAAGACTAATTTTACAGCAGAATATACTAATATACTATATCCATGTCTAGTGAAGGTGAAGAATGATGAAGAGTGTATGGTTGTCTGCGGCGGGGTGGGTGTTGTACTTCGTATGTGGCCCACCCAGATAATGTTGCTTACAGGCCAATTGTTGTGTCGTTACGTCATTGGTTACATATCATCCTCAGCAGCGTCCAAGGGTTAGAGAGGTCACCCATTTATTTAAGACATGTTTGTGGAGGTAAGGGAACACCTAAAACATGCTAGACTGTGGGACCTGAGCACCTGAGTGGAAGACCTCCGAGTTAAATGTTAGGTCAAAAATAGTGAAAATAAATTTCTCCTGTCCGACTGCTTCTTACACTGGGTTTGACTTAAAACAGATATTTATACACAACATCTTTAAAAAAAAGCTGCACTGTATTGGCTGCATATGGCCAATAATTCCCATTGTGGTTGGACAAGATGTTTTTTATTTTAACGGCTGTTTAAATGTATCTAACAAATGCATACACTGGAAAATAGGATCTAAAAGTTATTTTGAGTGTTAGTAAATTTTAATTCAACAGAAAAAATCATGGGATTATATCAGTATTTGCAAAAAATATTTCCCTAGCCTGATGTTTGCTCAGATTTACAAAATATTTTAGATTTTTAAAAGTCATAGTGCTGTATTTTTAATATCACATCTGTGTGTTTAAAGTGCAATAATTGTTGGCCGGTGTATACTAAGTGTGGCAGCAGATGCTCACATGGGACACTAGTCACAATGTTAAAAAGTGATTAAAGACTTTAGACTAGACTTAGACAAAGTTGAGAGAGGGAAATATGATTAAATATTGCAGTATTTATCAAATATTTGGCATCATAAGTGATGATTTATAATAATGTTCAATTCATCTGGGAACCAGCTATCAGCACTTTGACAAAAACTGTATATTAGGAAGAGATTATTAGGGGAAAATTTATACTTTGTAGACCTGCTGTGACTGACATATTATCTGCTTCTGAAGATTAAATATTTAGAAAAAAAATAAATTGATCAAACAGCTTTAGATGCAGCTTGAAAGATGGTATATAGCAGGACGAGAAAATAATGAACATCAGAGAGTTATGGCACTTTGATATGAATCAGCTCATCACAGCTGACATTGAGGCCCTTTACCTGATCATAGTTCTGACTGGCAGTAGATTGCAGATTTTACTTTGCTTGAATGTGGTGTGTTCTTGTTAAAAACTTCATATACATCCATGTTTTTATGAGGCTGTGAAGCCAAAATCAAATTTTTCAATAACTCTGTATGAATTAAACTCTCATTGGTTGCTATTTTTTTTATTATTATTTGTGTTAAAAAAATATTCTACTTTCCTCTAAATTTTGTGAATCTTCCCTCAAGGGGAGAAAAAAAAGAACAAGGAATTTCTATTCCTTTGCTAAATGTCTGTTTTTCTATTTTTACTTTTGCAGAAGGAGCTCGGGTTTAAAGTCCAGATTTTTGAAAAGAAAGTGGAGACGTACAAAAAAATGACTAAAAAGTTCAGCAATACAGTGGAGTATATCAAGGTAGGGTTACTTTCTCATGGTGCTCATGTTGCATTTCATGTGTTAGATATTTTTTTATTATTATTTGTAATAGAATATCAAAAGAAAGGCAAAGGTTGAAAGTTGCAGATTGATTCCTGTTGTTTTAATTTTTGTAGATGAATATATTAGAGGTTTTCATTATATATATGAAAGTTTGTTTACTATTTTGATTTCCCTATTCAACTGTGCGCAGCATCAGGCAGGAGAAGCCGAGAAAAGAATCAAGGCAGAATTTGAGAGGCTACACAAGGTGCTTGTTCAGGAAGAGGCCAAGAGACTGGAAGCTCTGTCCAATGAAGAGCAGAAAAAGCTTGAGATCATGCAAAGAGCGATTGACATGGCAGAGGAGGATATTGTTAAAATGAAAGAGCTCATTGAAACTGTGAAGAAAGAAATGGGCAATGAGGATCTGCTGCTGCTGAAGGTAAACGAGGGCAGCTCCTCACAGCTTTTTTAAGGCTCTTATATTATATTGGTTTTTATTTTAAAAATATATTTTCTTTAAGGCTAATTTTCAGCACCCTCTCTGTTTTACAGAATTTCCAGAGTGTTAAAAGAAAGTAAGTGACTGCTCAGTGAGTTTATTCATCTGTTGGATGATTTCACTGTGTAAAACCAAATTCATTTGAGCAGTTCTGATTGAGTCTCTTTTGTTTATCTTCTTCTCTGTTTTAGAGCCCAGTGGGATCAATCTGATCTGGGTTTTCCCTATGATTCCCTAATAGACATGGGGAAGCATGTCGGTTCTCTGGGCTACAACATCTGGAAGGACATGAAGGATCACATCAAATATTGTAAGTATCTTGACATAATATTAACATCATTAAAGTCGCATGGAAGTCATATTTAAATGTCAAATCATTCTGGTTTAAACATGTATATAATGTACTCTTTATCAGCCTATATTGTCACAAAAGTTAAAAAAATTCTATTTAAAAGAAAATCCTGTCTTAAAAGCTGTGGGGGGTTTTTCTTCGTTATTTTATGCAGGCCAGTTAGTTATACATCAGCCTGAACACCTAAATTCGGCCAATCATATATCAACTGTCATCTGTCAATCAAATTTTTTCAGGCATAGCATCTTGATTCATAAGTCGCAGCTCATATACGCACCACGGTTGAAATAAGAAATAAGAATCTATGGAGTGATTTTTCTGCCAAAACGTGAACAAAAATGCATGTTGCGCACACACATAAAGCATGTTTCACACAAACAAATCTTATCACTCACTAATAAAAATGTTGCACCGAAATAAATCTTATTGTTCACAGATAAAACTTGTGTTATAAACTCTCATCTAATTTCACACACAAATAAAACTTTTTTTCAAACTGTCCTTAAATGTTGCACACACACAAAAATTTATTTTTCAAACCGGACTCTAACATTGCACTTAAAATATAATTTGTAAATTGTCCCCGAGTACAAAATGATCTCTGCTCGCATACAAAACAGCTTCTCCTCGTGTGTACGAGACAATTCTTCACACTCTGCAGTAAGTTTCTGCCAAAAGTCACGTGATACATGGAGAATTGTCATTCTGACTAACCGACAGCAGGAGGCGCCATAGAATCAAAACAACTGAAACTGCCTTAAGTCGAGCTGCGTTTCCGTCAGATACGGTTTCCCCTAAATCTCCGCACAGCGCAGGCGGCACGATTCACCGCGCAAGCCTATATGAAAGGGAAGAAAGTTAGAAAGGGATAAATCGGGATGGATAGATGGATCAATCGATTTGAACGCCCTGTTAAAAAAAAACCTCACACCCATGAGTAGAGGTAAAGCAGCCTGATGATATTTACACCGCACCAGATACGGTTCCCCCCATGTTAAGAAGAGGGGAACGTTATCTGACGGAGTTTATAGGTCCATCAGTTCTTTTTCATAATATTCACTCGGTGTCTCGCTATGGGATGCAGCCTCCTGCAGCCCTGATAGAAGCATCTATCTCAATCTGCCAATCCTGATTGGCCGGTGGAAGTGCCCGTCATACGCCACGCCCCGTAGCTCCGACTACTAAAGCGTGTGCGGATCACGGCACTCCTATTCAAAACCTCTTCTCACCTGAGAGCTTATCTCACGTCGGAGCCTTCGCTAGCTTAACTGCCCACAGACGGACCTTGCTAGTTTCCGTCGCCGGACGCTAGCACTGTGCTCTGGCTTCTGCCCTGTCCGCTCACTCCAGACCGGACCGGTAACCTTTTGTCTCTCTTCACGGCGGAATCCCTCTCGGCTCCTCTCCACGGACGCTCGAGTCGGACGAGCATTTAGCACACCAGCTACTTCCTCGACCCCGCCACGCTAGCACGCCAGCTAGCTACGGTTCCTTTCCCTACCAGCACTCCAGCTCGTCGGAAAATGGCGGCCGTCCAAAACCCCCACGCCAGGGGAGACCACCGTCTTTGTGGCTGCGGGAATAAAATTTCAGGGAAAGACACCCACCCGGTGTGCGGTACCTGTCTAGGAGTCGACCACGCCAGGTTGGCCCTAGAAATTCCCGGCTCCTGTGGACACTGCAAAGTGTTCACGGTCAAGAGCCTCAGACGCAGGCTAGCCCGCCAGGTTAGCATCTCGGACCGTGATCCATTCCTCCCCACCGCCGCACAAGGTGCAGCCGCGGAGGAGGACGTGGACACAGCTGGGGAAGCCCCGGAGACTGACTACGACTGGGGTGCCCAGTGCGAGCAGCTCCATGCCCCCCCCGTTTCCCGAGGAAGACGTGCTGGAAGTCAGTCCCATGGAGGAGGATGACGACACCTCGTTCCTCATATCAGAGGACGAGGAAGAGGATGACACCTTCATGGCCCCAGCACAGCCTGAGAGGCCTAAACCGCCGTGCCCTTCCGCCATGGAAGACAGGGGAGCGAGCTCACCAGCTCCCTCCCTCCATGTGGACCTGCTCGACGTGTGCAAACGCGCGGCAGAGAAGCTGGAGATTCCCTGGCCGGTCGCAATAGCGGAGCCCACCCGGTCCCGCTACGAAGGCAAACGGCTTCCCCTGGCACGAAATGCGGTGAAGCAGCTTCTCCCTGTCTTCCCCGAGTTGCTGACGGAGCTCTCCAAAACATGGACTAGCTGCCCATACAGCAACAGGAGCCCTATTTCGGGCGCAGCATCCCTCGACTGCGAGGCGATGGACGCCCACGGCCTCCTCTCCATGCCTCCGGTGGAAGTCCCGGTAGCTGCGCACCTCTGCCCAGGCAGCGTGAGCCAGCTGTCTGCAGCTTCCCCCAGACGCCCGACGCTGCCAGCTAAGCCCGAACGGTTCCAGTCTGCGCTGACCGAAAAGGCATACAAAGCAGCAGCCCTCTCGGCCAGAGCCCTCAGCGCCCTCTCCATCCTCACTGCCTACCAAGCGGAGTTGTTTGGCGCGTCTGCTGAGGAGCAAGACCCGGATGCGTGGGAGGAGATGGCGGTCATCGCGGACCTGTCTCTCCGTATCCAACGTGTCGCAGTCCAGGCCACAGGGAAGGTGATGGCAACCCTCGTCGTCCAGGAGCGAGCGCGATGGCTCAGTCTCGCTAACCTGACCGACAGGGAGCGGGATGACATCCTGGATATGCCGATCGTCCCTGAAGGCATCTTCGGCTCTGCATTGGCCACAATGCAGCAAAGATGTGAGGCAAAGAAAAAGGACAACGAGGCCCTCAAACTTTGTCTCCCTCGGAAAGCCCCTGCGCCTTCACCTCCGGTGCAACGCAAAACCTTTGCGCATGCAGCCTCCCAGCCGCCACGTTTTAAGGTACCAAGACGGCCACCACCGCCAGGTCCGCCCCCTCCGATGAGGAAGGAGCGCGGAGCCGGCTGGCAGGGGAAACCTGCCTCCACGACCGCTACGCCGCCGCCGCCCACAGCCGCCGCGAGCTCGGTCCCACAGGCGAGGAAGAAAAAGAGGGCGGCCTGACAGCCGCCAGTTCCTCAGTTGGTGCAGCCTGCTGTTCCCCGTTGCGCAGGCCCACCGTTTTGGCTTGTTTGTGCGCACCCCACGCCACCGTTGCCCATCCCAGAGCCGGTCTGCGAGGAGAAGGACATCGCCCCGGAGGTCTGCGCGGTTGCGCCCCGAGCGGAATGTCCAAAAGCACAGTCACACACCCTTGTTCAAAGAAAAAATGGTGTCAAAATAAAAATAAATCTGTCACAGCCAGGCCACGAGCCGAGGGTGCAGATAATAAAAAAAGCCAAAACAGACGATGCTCTCTCTATAAGCAGGGTGGCCGCTCAGCCCCCTGCAGCTCTGCTCCCGGGACGGGCACCGCCGTCCCCGCGGAGCAGAGCAGAGCGCTCCACCGTGCCTCCGGTGGTGCCCGAGAATCATTTCTCGGTTCCACCACAGGGGGGCGCGGGGCAGGAGCCGCAATATGTTCCCCCGCTCTCTCTCAGATGGGAAAGCTGGAGAGCAGCAGCAGCTCCACCGTGGGTGTTGCGCACAATTTCCCGGGGATACAGGCTTCAATTCGCCACTGTCCCTCCCCGCTTCTCCGGTGTAATACACTCACATGCACAGGGAGAATCAGCTCGAGTTTTACGGGAGGAAATTCTCTCTCTGATAGACAAACGAGCAGTTTCTGTCGTATCTCCCGAACAGAGTCTGTCAGGGTTTTATTCCAGATACTTCCTCGTCCCCAAACGGGGGGGGAGAGGAATCCGCCCTATTCTGGACTTAAGAGCCCTGAACAAATTCCTGCGGAAATACAAGTTCAGGATGCTGACACATGCAGCTCTGTTGCGTCTAGTAAGACCGAACGACTGGTTTTCGTCCGTGGATCTGAAAGACGCGTATTTCCACATTCCCATTTATCCCCCTCACAGACAATATCTCCGGTTTGCCTTTCAAGGGGTGTGTTACGAATACCGTGTTCTACCATTCGGTCTGTCTCTCAGTCCGAGGGTTTTCATACGGTGCACAGAGGCCGCGGTAGCCCCGCTCAGACGCCGGGGGATACGTCTGGCCACGTATTTAGACGACTGGCTCCTGTTAGCGCAGTCAGAACAGGAAGCCAAGGTTCACACACACATTGTCACAAAACACCTGATGGATTTAGGTTTTGTGATAAATATGGAAAAAAGCCACCTATCTCCAACGCAGGAGATATGCTTTCTGGGATTATCCCTGCGCTCTGTTCCGTTCACAGCCCGCCTGTCAGAGGAAAGAGTGACGGTTTTCAGAACGTGCCTGTCACAATTCCGTCTGCACAGGTCTGTCCAGTTCAGACTGTGCCTTCGGTTGCTGGGTCTGATGGCCTCAGACATCCTCGTGATTCGCCTCGGCCGCCTTCACATGCGGGACTTTCAGCGCTGGGTCGCTTCGCTCCGAATGGACCCTGTGCGTCATGGCGCACGGCGGATAACGGTCACAGCGGACTGTATAACAGCTCTGCGCTGTTGGCGAGCCCCGTCCTTCCTGACCCAAGGGGTGCCTATGGGCACCGTCTCGTCCAGGAAAGTGGTAACCACGGATGCCAGCCTATCAGGCTGGGGCGGCATTCACGAGGGCAGGTCTGTGAGGGGTCGCTGGAGCCAGGCCCTCCAGCGCCTTCACATAAACTTTCTCGAACTTTCGGCGGTGTTTCTTTCTCTGAGACACTTCCTCCCATTCCTCTCGGGTCACCGTGTCCTGGTGAGGACGGACAACACGACAACAGTGGCGTATATCAACCGCCAAGGGGGCCTGCGCTCCCGCATGTTGCACAATCTGGCGCGCGACCTGATTCCCTGGAGCAGTACCCACTTTCTCTCCCTGAGAGCGACGCACGTCCCGGGAGACTTGAACACGGGTGCGGACCTGCTGTCCAGAGGCGCGCCAGTGTACGGGGAATGGACGCTGCACCCACAGGTCGTGGAGCAGATATGGGCGCGCTACGGGCGCGCTCAGATAGATCTGTTCGCGTCCAGGGAAAACGCTCGATGCGAGCTGTTCTTCTCTCTGAGCACTCTGAATGCCCCTCTGGGCGTAGACGCATTAGCGCACGCCTGGCCGCACGAGCTGCTATACGCGTTTCCACCGCTGGCCCTGATACCCCCCACTCTCGCCAGAGTGAGGGCATTCAACCACAGACTGATCCTAATAGCTCCGCACTGGCCAGCGCAACACTGGCTGGCGGAGATATTCCAGATGCTGTGCGCCCAGCCTTGGGAGCTGCCGCTGCGCAGGGACCTGCTCTCGCAGGGTGCGGGGACAGTGTACCACCCACACCCGGAGCGACTGCAGCTGTGGGCCTGGCCCGTGAGTGGCTTAATTTAACCACTGCCGGGCTCCCTCAGAGTGTAATTAATACTATCCAAAACGCCAGGGCTCCCTCCACTAGGAACCTATATGGCTCCAAGTGGGGACTGTTTGAGCGGTGGTGTCTTGAACGGGACTACGTTCCTTTTCAGTGTTCTGTACCAGCGATTCTGTCGTTTTTACAGGAACTGATTGATAAAGGAAAAGCTTTTTCCACGGTTAAGGTTTATCTGGCAGCTATAGCAGCATGCCATATAGGATTTGGAGACAAAACGGCGAGCCAACACCCTTTGGTTTGTCGGTTTATGAAGGGCGCCCGCAGGCTCCTCCCCGTCTCCAGACCTTTGCTGCCTCCGTGGGATTTGTCGGTGGTTCTGGAGGGGCTTAAGGGACCCCCATTTGAACCGTTGTTGGGGTCCAGTCTTAAACATCTGTCTCTCAAGACAGTGCTGTTACTGGCCCTGGCCTCTGCGAAACGAGTCAGCGACATTCATGCGCTCTCTGTGAGCCCCGCATGTACCCGGTTCGACCCGGAATACACGCGTATGGTTCTGAAGCCCAACCCGGCCTTTGTTCCTAAAGTGGTTGGTTCTTGTTCACCGATCGAGCTAGCGGCGTTCGCCGCCCCCCCAGGTGAACGGCAAGCGCACACGCTGTGCCCTGTTCGAGCCGTGCGCTCTTATATGGACAGGACGCAGAGCTTCAGGATGAGTGATCAGCTCTTTGTCTCCTGGGCGGAGCCCCGTAAGGGGCAGCTGATCACAAAGCAACGCCTCGCCCACTGGGTGGTGGAGGCTATAGCTTTGGCGTATGGAAGCAGGGGTCTGCAGCCCCCGGCGGGTCTGCGTGCACACTCTACCCGCGGGATGGCTGCGTCCTGGGCTTTATTTCGGGGAGTGTCCGTTCAGGACATTTGTTCAGCGGCGAATTGGTCTTCGCCTCTGACTTTTGTCCGGTTCTACATGCTTGACGTGTCTGGACCGTGCGTGGCCAGTGCGGTCCTAGAGTCATAACTGACCTTGTGGACCTTCCCCATCGGCCGGTTCTTGTTCGATAAGCTGTCTGACAATACGGGAGCTACCATATCCCATAGCGAGACACCGAGTGAATATTATGAAAAAGAACGTTTGGTTATCTAACATAACCCCAGTTCTTAGAATAATATGAGCAAGGTGTCTCGCCAGACGACCCTTCTTGCAGGGCGGCGAGAAGAGGTTTGCTTGTTGAATTGGAGTGCCGTGATCCGCACACGCTTTAGTAGTCGGAGCTACGGGGCGTGGCGTATGACGGGCACTTCCACCGGCCAATCAGGATTGGCAGATTGAGATAGATGCTTCTATCAGGGCTGCAGGAGGCTGCATCCCATAGCGAGACACCTCGCTCATATTATTCTAAGAACTGGGGTTATGTTAGATAACCAAACGATACCGTTCCCCCCATGTTAGACAGGGGATCGTCAGATACTGTTCATTAAAGATACTATCCATCCATCCATCCCGATTTCTAACTTTCTCCCCTTAAATTCACCTTAATAAAAGGTGTAAATGTTTTTTTTCTCTTTGTTTTTTTTTTTTAACTAAAACCAGTAATTAGTTTGCCTATTTTCTGAAGTATCAGTACAGCAACTACTCTTTCATACATGAACGCTGCTGCTGCCTGAGCTGCTAACAAAGATGAGTTCTCATAACAGGAATTCTGGGAATGAAAGTGTTGTTTCTTCTGACTTGTATAATAGTTTAGTAGGGCTGAAATAGGGCTGAAAAAGTAGGGCTGAAATAGTTCATTTGATTAAGTGTTTTATTTGGATAACATATATTTTTCTGGATTAATAGTTAAATACACAGAATTACTATAAATAACAATATCTGCTGCTCTGTTTTAAAGTGATTTAAAGTGAGTGTCAGATTTGGTCTTAAGTCTATATTACCTGGGATACAAATTTGGCCTCAAAACGGTCTGTGTGTGTTTTGTTAGCTTAATATCCTGAACGATATTTTACATAATCATCTACAACCCTGTATCCTGTTTGTTCCTGTGTGTGCAGACCCAGTTGCTTTCGATCCAAACACAGCCTCTCCGTGGCTCTCATTGAGCGCTGATCTCACCAGCGTGAAGGAGAGCCAAGAGCGACTGACCGTCCCTGACAACCGAGAGCGCTTCGAGCCTATCGTCTTCGTCTTGGGGGCTCAAAATTTCGAAAGTGGAAAACATAAATGGGACGTCATTGTCGGTGACAACCCCAAGTGGATCCTGGGAGTGAGCAAGGTGGAGGTGGCCCGAAAAAAGAAGTTCACCGTCTCACCAAATCGTGGGGTGTGGGCTCTGGGGCTGAGTAAAGGGGTGTATACCGTCCACGATGAGAAGCGCACAGAGCTGGTGGTGCCGCAGAGTCCTGAGAAAATACGCATCAAACTAAATATGGATAAGGGAGAGGTGTCGTTTTGGGACGGGGGGAGAGAGAAGCATTTAGTCACCCTTAAATATGAGTTTAAGGGAGCACTTTGTCCTATTTTTGGCCCAGGCCTCCATTCTACTCCTATGCTCCTGGCCCCTGGAAAAATAGCTGTACACACATCATAAATGAACTTTCTTCCCCTGTAAAACAGGCAGGAAGTCTGGGCAGCCAGAATGATCAGACTTCTACATAGCGTATTACGCTCCATGTAATTCAGTCTGACTGTGCCAGGGTAACAGGCGGATGGTTAACACATTTATGCATGATTTAAAAGTTTCAGTACAGAACTCTAAAAAAAGCTTATCAGGCGATTTGATTTAAGATGCATGTGTGAGAAAAATATGATTAAACATATCTAATGGAGATTAATATTTGCTGTTAGAAGTGCTTAAAGTGCAGGTGTGATTCTTTAAGCAATATACAGCAAACATGTTTTCTTAATGGCCAAAAATATCTTTCAGAAATTATTTCCATTTAAAGTACAAAAAGAGCAATGAAGGCTAAAGTTTCAGAAAACAACCAACTACCCCTTTTCATTGCAATCATACCACAGGAAACACTTCACCTTTTGATATCTGACGAAAAGTTTCAATAAAATATTCATATTCAACTCAACAAGCTATGTTGGCGCTTTTCGATGCTTGGGTATTGTGGGTTATATTTTCTTCTAAAATTTTGCTCTTCTATGCAATGTTCTAGTTGTTTTAGTTGTTTTTGTAATGTAATGTCTGTGTTGACTCTTTTTCTAAGGTAACGTCTGTGATGAGACTTTGATGGCTTGTTAATGAGAAAGGATTGTATTAGTAAGCTTTTTATTTCTTGCTATTACAGTGTACACTGGAATGACTTAAAGTGGGATGAATTACAACATAATGTTTTGTTTCTTCAGTGATATTCTACTTGTTTTCTTTTGATCTCATTAAAGGCCAAATACTGAAACCTAACTTGGTTTCATTGTCCTTTTGTTGAAATGGGGAAAAAAATAAATGCGCAATAAGCAAGCTTTCACTCTTTTCTTTTTTGTTTGTTTGTTTTGTTTTTTTAATACCTAGCAATCAAAAATATATTTATAAAAGTTTGTTGATGCTAGTTCTCTTCTCCAGTGGACAGAATATTGGGTATATCATGAACAGATGCAGAAAAAAACTTCTACTTGACAGCGAGACCGGTTGATTAAATATGCATATCTTTGGACAGGGAGGAGTCCCTGTAGTGAGCTTGTGCACTGAGAAACCGATAATGGCAAAAATGTCTTTCTAAATTCCTCACATGTTTATTGATTATATGTTAACCAGAAACTACATGTATATTAAGATTATATGTAAGAGAAAGACAAAATAAATTATTCTAAGCAAAGAAAATCACAGAAAAGAATCTGGAAAGTAGCAGTGTGGTATTTATCCTCCTAAAAAAAATATATATATATATATGTGTGTGTGTGTGTGTGTGTGTTTGTACTTCATATGGGGTGGGGACCCTGTAATTATACATATTGTATATATAATATATATTGTTTGAAATTGTGTAATATCAAACTGGTCCTATAGTCACTCTATTACAGATAGAGTAATGTAACAAAAGTAGTTTACCCTGGGATTATAAAAGTATTTCTGATTCCTGGTTGATGGGACAGGTGTTGTGAATGAAACAGTGTCCAGCTTGAAAGAGCTCCTCTGTCGCTGAATGTGTGCATGGATGACTGAAATACATCTTCTGCCTCCATTTATCTGTTTACTACAGTGTGTTAAATTCGTGTTAATGTGTATTTGAAGACATTTCAATTAGTGGTTTAATCTAAAAAAAAGTCTAATCAACCAAAACTTTCGTGACCCCCATGCAGTACCTACATGGACCCCTAGGGGTCGCGGACCCCTGTTGAAGACCTCCGACCTAGAATATAAGATATATTTTCAGTTGTTTCTTACTTTTTTTTTGTAAAGTATATAATTCCACGTGTTAATTCATAGTTTTGATGCCTTCAATGTGAATCTTCAATTCTCATAGTCATGAAAATAAAATAAAACTCTTTGAATTAGTTTTTTTTTTTTTTTTCCTGGTCATCAAATATAAACAATGCTGCCTTCTCCTCAGCGAGGCACAAAGTAACCTAAACTGATGTTGCTTAATCCGGTTCGATTCAGGTCACTGCAGTAAACAAGGTTCCTGTCCAGATTTTTGTCCTCCATCTCCGCTGGATGGCAGCGCTGTTGGCAACAACATGCTGCTCAGCCTATTGTGTTGGTGATCTATGGTAACAGCTACCAGCCATCAATACCAAAACAACGACGATGGGGTCTTTAAAACCACAGAGTCGCGGAAGTGATGGCATATTGCGGGTGTTTGGTTGAGAACACCCATCGATAGACGCCAGATTTACCCCTTCCATCATAGCATGTAAGATCATTACAGCTTAATTACACCGAGGGATGATTGCAGGTTTGCAGCCACTGACGCATCTGGATTTAGCAGAGCTCTTTTGCTGCCTCTGTCATCCGCATTGAATCGCATTCAACTGCGGCTAGCTAGTTAAGCTAGATGTGAGGTTTCGCCTAGAAGGAGAAGTCCCATGTGGCTGCTTGCCTTTTCAAACCCATCGACAATGTAAATTAATATGCGATCAAAGAGACGGGATTTGGTGAGTTCGGTCACAAAAAATGGTCATAAACTGCATAATGGCCGCCGCGAGTTAACGGTTTTCTGCCAGCTAGCTTAGCAACCCCTCCTGTTAGCTTTGTTATGATATTCTGCACAGACTGCACTTACTTCAGAAATATATATTTCTCATTCCCCCTGTTTTATTTTATTTCATTTTTCAACGTAAACGCGTGTGGTGAAAGCACTTTAGAAGCCATTTATTGCTTGTTTACTTGTTTTGATTTGAGGTCGTACTCGTAATTACAGCCCTTGTTGCATCTGTGGCTAGCATGTAGCTAGGTTATAATGCTTTATTTATCCTGAACTTAGAGTGCAAATATGTATTTTCTCCTTCGGGGTGTAATTTTGTAAATGCCAGAGTTAAGACTCAGTTTAAAATTCTGCAGGGAAATCAAAGGTGCGCAATAAATACTGTATAAGGTGTTTTTAATGTGATTTGTTTTTTACTTTGATGTTTGTTTACAATCAGCTCTTTTATCTTGTGGATATCAACACTTTAGATTTTATAGTGGATCATGCGGTTGATCAGGAAAATGTTGCAGCACACGTAGGCTTATGTTTATGAATGAGTGTTTTGGTTCTGATAATGTCTTATGACTAACTCATGTTGATCAGCCTTTCTTTCTGTTTCCAGGCAGTGCCAGAGATGGCCTCCCCTCTCCCTGTCTCCATTCTCATTCTGGTGGTCCTTCTATCAGCTGAGTGGCCTGTGTGCCAGGCAGGGGACTGCAAGGGCCACAGGCAGGTGCTGAGGGGACCTCCAGGTTATGTCACAGATGGACCTGGAAACTACTCTGTCAATGGGAACTGCGAGTGGCTTATCAAAGGTAGAGTTTATGCAAACTGAGCTCTTATTTCATATTAGAAGTGTAGGCCTTGAACTTTCTAACATATTGTGATGTCACAGCAAAAATCTCCAGTGTATAATTGAGTTTTATGTAATAGAGAAGGGGTCTTTCACGTTTTCCAGGCCAAGGACCCCCAAACTGATGGAGAAATGGAGCGGGGAGCCCCTAATTATAGAAACTGTTATATCAAACTGGTCCTATAGTCACTCTAATATAGATGGAGTAATGTAACGGAAGTAATTTTGCCCTGGGATTATTAAAGTATTTCTGATTCTGATTCCTGGTTGATGGGACAGGTGTTGTGAATCAAACGGTGCCCAGCTTTAAAAGAGCTCCTGTGTGTCGCTGAATGTGTGCATGGATGACTGAAAAACATCTTCTGCCTCCATTTATCTGTTTACTACAGTGTGTTGAATTCATGTTAATGTGTATTTAAAGACATTTCAATTAGTGGAAAAAATTGCAGGGGAAAATATAAAAAAAGTTAATCAACCAAAACTTTTGTGACCCCCCTGCAGTACCTCCGTGGGTACCCTAGGAATCGCGGACCCCCTGTTGAAGACCTCCATAATAGTGTGCAACAAAGTATATGGTTGTAAATATCAGGAAAAGAGAAACATGGATTAAAGATTTATTTAAAAATTATATACAAAAGGAATTGCATGCATTTGTATCCAGCAGAGGTGGGAGATGTGGAGTCAACAAGTCATCTCTCTATGCCATGTGTTTATTTTTTTTATAGACTTAAACTTTGTCATATTGTATACACAATGTGTATTCACAACACAGTGAATGAGCAGCTTAGCAGTGAAATGAACATTTCCATTAATAAAGTGCAGCAGTGAGGAGAATGTAAAGTGTATGAGAAAAGGAAAACCAGTTTAAAGACATGGTGTGAAAGGCATTGTTATGCAAGATTCAGGGAAGTACAAAATAAATTATGGTGCAAAATGCAGTAGAACACTGAGCTGAGTTCTATTTAAAGTGATTTGAAAATTAAAGTCTCAATGAGTGACTTGATTAGAGTTTCAATGTCAGGGTTTGGTTGTGGTTTGATGACCCAACTGCAGAGGCAGAGAGGCTGAGGAGATTTCTTGTTGATTTAATCAGAGGAAACAGTTTAACAAAGGCAGGAATCCAAAAATCCAACTTAAAATGCAAAGCAAACCAGAACCATGGAGTCATCAGGGGAAACCAAACACGAGGAGCCAGGGAGAGACGAGGTAGGAAGAAAACAGCAGTGAGAAACCAGCAACGACAGAGGAACCAACAAGGAGTGACAGCAGAGGGAGAATATATATATATATATATATATATATATATATATATATATAGCTATAGCTGACTGAGACAAAGGCAGGGCTAACGAGCTGATAAGGGGCAGGTGTGAGTGGAGACAACGAGGGAGCCAAGGGGAAAGGAACACACATAAGAGGGTGACAGAGGACAACAACAGAAAAAAACTGAGAACTAAAATAAATCTAAAAACACAAAGTAGGAAATAAACCAATAAAACACACGGATCAAAGTAAAACAGAAAGTAAGACCATCACATTCAACAGTTCAACAGTCTTATGAAAACGGGGGGAAAGCTGTTGCGGAACCTGCTGGTCCTGCATTGAATGCTGTGAAGCCTGTTCCCAGAGGGCTGCAGGGAGAACAGTCCATGGTGGTGGTGTGAGGCCCAATCTGTCCAATCTGCACAGTGAATTGAATTGTGTAGATTGAACTCACCTGGTTCAGTGGCTGGGCAGAACAAACACATGGCATAGAGATGACTTGTTGACTCTACATCTCCCACTTCTTGTATCCAGCCTCATTTTCCTCTGATATACTGAAATGTGTCATAGCAATAACCTGCCTTATCTTTTCAGATGAGACCAAAGAGATGCACTTTAGGGTCTAAATGTAAAAACCTATGTGCA